GTCTAGTGTTGCCACGATTAGATTACTGCTCTGTTGTATGGTCAAACTGATTTCAATCTCATACAACTAAGCTGCAAAAAATTCAAAAGAGGGCCACAAGAATAATATTGAACAAGACATATGACACACCGTCGGCTGATTTGTTCACAAGTCTTAAATGGATGACACTAGACAAGCGGTTTGAGTTAAGTCACGTTATGATGATATATATAAATGCGTTCATAACTTAGCACCTTCTTACCTTCAGGTAGGCTTAATCAATCCTAATGATGTGCATGAGCATCATACAAGGCAAATAGACAGTGGATGTTTACGTGTGCCAAGATTTCACACTGATTGTTATAAGTGTAGCCCAATTGTTTCTTCCATATTTGAATGGAATAAGCTAGATAATTCGTTGAGAACGGCTTCCTCTGTCAATTCATTTAAGAGATTGTTTAAACAAAGTTGTAATTTGTGAATGGCTCAGCCGAACATACACTACGTGCATGTTCTGTATTATTAACATGACTTATTCACATAACTGCGACTTAATTAATGTTTTCCTATTGACATTACTGTTTACTAGGTTAATGACATATGTTTATTTTGCAAACGAGTATTATTTTTGTAACTGTTCTGTATAAATGTTATAAACGATGTAAATATGTTCATTCAGGGCCTCATGGAAGACCACTACTTGTTGGTGAATGGGCTACCCTGTCAAAAGATTAGAAATAAATAAAAAATAAATAAAATAAATGCTGCGGCGGGACTTGACCCACGGACCTTGTGATCGACAGTCCAATGACATATCCATTCGACCATGACAACTCCAGACCTGTACTTGGTTTTCCTAAGTTGTGTCTGACTGATTTCCATAACTCCAAGCCTCTTTAAGCCAAGTATGTTAAGTGAAGGGCTAAAGTCAGAAAAGAGGGGTTTGCCTGCCACTACCACACGGGTAAGCGCACCTTGTTTATACATAGGATTTTATAATTATTTCAGAGGTGTTTTTTTGACAAAAAATAGTATTTTGTCAATAACGTTTTAAGAAAACCTTGAACCACCATAGGTTTAGTGTCATATTAAAGAAAATTCAATTATCTACAATTTGATACCAATTTCAACAGAATTAGAATTAATTAACATTGCAAATTTAAGTCATAAACATTTTAAAAAAAATTATCAAGATCAGAGAGGCGCCTTTTTTCGTAACTTTTTACGAATTTGCCCATGTACCAGGGTTGGGCGGTAAATACCGGTGGCGGTAATTACCGGTGGTAAATACCGTCCGGTAAATAAGATGCGCGTCCGGTAAATATGTAAAAAACAGGAAATATGATTTTAATTCTCTATTTATTAGTAATTTTACTTGTTTTTAGCCTCATAACTGAAAATATTGTTCTGAAATAATTAGCAGCACAATACTCATAGTAGGAACACACAAACAGATTTATAAAATCCTCACTGCATACAAAATTGTACACACCCAAACAAATGGCATTTTGTGCATATGCTAATTAATAGGTATCATGAATATGGTAATTAGCAACTGGGAACCAAAACCTTCATACAAGTTACTTTTGTTGTAAAGTTTAAGATATTTGAATAAAATCAGTGAAAATTTGAACAAAATCGGGCAAGGAATAAGGAAGTTAAAGTTTTTTTAAATGACTAGTCACTAGTGGGCGATATTCAATTTGATGACATCATTCGTGGACAACTCTCCATGCCTTTTGTACATCAAATTTCATGTTTTTCCTTCTTTCTTGTGATTGAGATAATAAAATGCAAAATGATATTCTACTTCACATGTTATGAAATCCGATCAAGAACACTAATAAATAGGAAAAAAACGAAAGACTTGTGAAATTTGATGTACAAAAGGCAAGGAGAGTTGTCCACAAATGATGTCATCAAATTGAATATCGCCCTCTAGTGACTAGTCATTTTACAAAGCTTTAACTTCCTTATTCCTTGCCCAGTTTTGTTCAAGTTTTCACTGATTTTATTCAAATATCTTAAACTTTACAATAAAAGTAACTTAGTATGAACGTTTTGGTTCCCTTTAATGAAGAACATATCTAGATTAGGTGTATATTTGGCATCTTTTTCCTGTATTTTTTTCCAGCATTACATAATTAAAGACATAGACAAACACACGAACAAACACACACACACAAATAGTACACACAAGAGCAACCATACTCACCACCATTGTTATTTGTTCAAAATTGGACAATCCCTATGAACAAGTGAGTGGAAAAATATATTTCCCGGTATTTCCCGGTAAAAAGTGGTAAATACCGGTAAAAAGCGGTAAGTACCGGTAAATACCGGTAAATACCGCGTATTTCCCGGCGTCCGGGAAATAAGCCTCCGAAGCGGGAAATATGCCAACCCTGCCATGTACAAGGACAATATCCTGTGCAAAGGAAAGGCTTATATCTTTCTTCAGTGAAAAGTTATAGCAACCCATAGTTATTGATTTGATTTCCACAAAAACGAAATTTTTGCCCACATGTGTATTAACTGTATGCATATACGTGTATTGAGGACGTGTGTTTACATCGAGTTTTAAAGATAAATTTTAAGTAAAACCTCTAATTACCATGGATTTGTGGTCAAAAGATGGATAATTAAAATGCCTTCAAGTTGATATCGATTTGTTTGGGTTATGAAGTGTGTGAAATATACATGTTGAGCCAAAAGGGTGCTTTTTAAAAGATATTTTAGCCTTCTTTTTTTTGGAAGTATTTAGTAGTGCAGAAAGTTAAAAGGATTTGGAGTGCTGAGTGCAATAATTGATAATTATTTCTTTTATACTGTGTGATGTTTCAGGAAATGTGGACATGCCCAGTTCCCCCCCCCCTGCCCTTCCAGCCGCTTGTCATAATCTTGCCCATGACCAAGACAAGTTAGTGCATCGATCAACATGAATATATATAATATCAACATGTTTAATTTGATGATTTATTTTAACTGACTACTAAGAAAACATGTGTATGCTCATAAGCACCCAGTGTACCGACAGTCGTAAGTCATCTCTGAGGAATTTAGGAATAATGCCTTACCAAAGGGCACTCCTCACTCCTGAATAAGAAGTGAAAAGATCGACCTCCTGGCTTTGATCCATGTGTTACAGCATAACTATAATATTATGAATGGGGGTTGATGAACGCCAGCCAGTTTTACACAAAAGAAATCTGGAGAGCGTGGGTGATAGGCACTCAAAAGCACTTAAGTAGAACAGATTTTAAAGAGTAAAATTATTTACGATGGAAACTGAGGGAGTTAAAATCCATGCATGTCTAAATTTTGGCATAATTCTATGTTTTGCTCTAAGGCAAACATGGCTGGATAAAAGAACAGTATATACAAGAAGAGTCCAACAAACCTAACATAACTGAAAAGTTATTCCAATAACTAGTCTTCATTTAACCCTAATAAGGGTCTTGAGTCTTGCGCATCTTTAAAAAAAAAAGAAGGAAAATCGGACCTACAGTTACAAGGTCACATGACCTTTTGTCTTTGCATGTCAGCCCGAAAATCACTCATTTTTTTCATTTGTCTACAAAACATATGGAAATGTCATTTTTCCTAAAAATAGATCAAACAATGGTTATTGGGTCTTGTTTAAAGTTTAGGTAGTTGTTTTGGGAGTCAAAATAGTTGAATATAGTAAGAAATGAAATAAAACAACATAAACAATGAAATACATAAGTTAAAAAAACAATGAAATACATAAGAAAATATCAAAACAAGAGATAACATAAGGAAGAAGCTGGCTCTTCCAATTTTTTGTTGTTGTATTATTATTCCAAATGGTCTTATGAATATATGCAGTGAAAAAGAATGCTTAAATATGAATAATATATGATTTTTGAGTAAAAACGTGGTTTCATGACCTTATTTGCATAAATTACCATAAATATGCAAATGAGTGAATTATTCAAAAAATTGAAATTACCATATTATTCTATACACTTCATTTGACATGCGTGCAAATTTTCGCGGAGATCGGCTGTTTCACGGCCGAGATCTAAAGGGGGGCCATAATGCCCCCCCCCCCCGGCCGTACTAAGACCTCAAATAGCCCGGCCTTTTTAGGGTTAATGACACTTTAAATGAAAAAGTTGATATTCACGCTCTCAGAACCCAATGGAGATTACAGATTTATTTATTCATTTAAAAAATCTAAAGTAGGGCCTATATATTCACCGTAGGTTAATCACTCAAACAGTACCGAATCATGCGTTAGCGATAGAGTGACATCCCCTTATTAAGCTCACATGGAGAACAGTAGTAAACCAATAAACTATTCAGGTGCTTTAACTATGTAGGGAATAAGAAACTGTGTTCATTTTGGGACCATAAACTCATAACTTGGTCGCTTTTGAGAGGCCATTACACAATATCACTAATACTAAAACTCGCTATATACCAATCAGGCACCTACGCAAAGGGGGGGGGGGGGGCGTACACCCTCCTCAATTTTTTTTATGTGTGTGTGATTATAAGGAAACCCTCCCCCACTTTTAATTGACTTCCCCCCTAACTGAAAAAAATATCGGCCGGTCAAATTTTTAAAATTTCTGCGATTTAAAAAAAAAAAAAAAGTGCGCTTACCATCCAATTTTCAGATTATCTTTAATTGTACATCTAGCATTGAAGTCACTACCATAGCAGCACTATCTCTCATCTGAACAATGTTACCAAGTCCCTTTAAGGTTTGCCTGATTTCAACACATGTAATTTTGATCTATATTTTTTCTTATACAGTAGGCTTGCGGTAGCACCATGTGAGAGAGTGGGAGGATTGGGGAGTCCTGAAAAGGACTCTCGATAATATTTCTTTCTTGAGTGTGTGTAGTCCTGAAAAGGACTGTTGGTGTAGTCTTGACAAAGACTGTTGGTTATCTTTCTTAGCTTATAGTTCTAAGGAGAACTATAGCGCCTGTTGGAGAGGATGGGCTGCAGGAGTGGCTCGACATTTCAAACAGGTTGACTATCTGTCGTCAGGAGTGGGGATAGCTGGCGTGCGTGACCTTAGGTCGCCAGGGTGCGAACGTGGGGGTACTATAACCATTTTGGGCTTGAGTCACCAGGGTGTAGACTTGGGTGGTCTGCTTGTCCGTCTGGGCTGGAGTCTCAGGGTTGCGGACTTGGGGGTGCTTTGAATCCATGAGTGGGGTGCGTTGTAGACTGCGTGTGTTCCCGACGTAGGCGGCGTTGTGGTGGCGGAAGCTGGAAGCTGGAAGGGTTTAGCTATTGGCTATTGGCCCAGCATGGTCATCACTACCACCCTACAACACACCTCAGGCTGCAAAGCTTGGTGCTAGAAGCCATCGTGTGACCGGGGGCTCTCTGTCACGGGGGCAACTCAACTGAGAACCCGAGACAGAGTCCAAGTCAGACTGATGGACTGGGGGCATCAACCCCCAAAAATGGGGTAAGGTGCCGAAGGTCGGCCGGAGGAGTATCAGAAAGATATATTTCCAACAAACAAAGTCTCAGACCCCAGGCCCACAAATTGACCCGGCGCTGAGCCCGACTGTGAGTCCGAGGCAGACAAACTTGACCTTAAAACAAGTAGAGGCAGAGTATCAGGGAAAGAATGCTGTGGGAAAGAATGCTGTTTACAGCGAAGACGGAACACTACCACCAGAACTGGGCTGTGAGCAAGTATCAGAAGATACTTTACGTCGGAAACCAGACTCGAAAATGGACCCGAGCTGAGGCCAACTTGCGGCCCAATCCTCCGAGACATAGGAGACAGAGTCCCAGTCACACTGACAACCCAAAGCTGGGGTAAGACCACCACCGAGTCAAACGACTCTTCTCCCGGAGAAGCTCTGAGAAAGCGGGCGCTGCAAACACGAAGCCTAACGCAGAGCCGACTGCATAGGGTGAGAATTTTAACGCCACAAGAGCGACACCCAAGAATTCAGAAAAAGAATCTGAATCTGAGGACAAAGAGCCCGACTCTAAGACAACACCAGCCGGGGCACAGGTTGCGGTAGGCAACGAACCACTTCCGTGCCGGGTGACAAATTTGACGCCAAACTTTGTGCACCTGCAAAGACAATAGCCCATGACCCAGCCAAAGCTTGGGTGCTCAAAACCTTCCGCCTCTTACCCGCGCAACGGGGGACGAAGGTGCTTGCTAGCTTTCGTAAGCTTGGCTCTACGGTCAGATTGACCTGGGCCGTTTTGCTTCACTGCCTCTATAGAAACTTGAGCGAAAACCCCCTACGGTACAGTGTAAACCAGGGCCCTCAGGCTGAAATGCTTTGTGAGAAGTTTCAGCAAAATCCCTTGGTCAGTCTGACCGGGGCCTGCTCGCTTTAATGCTTTGTGAGAAGCTTCAGCGAAATCCCCTTGGTCAGTGTGACCAAGGGACAGTCGTAACTGGGGGGAGAAAATCGAATCCAGATCCAGAATCCTTGCTCATCGTAAACCTGTGGATGAAACAAAACAAGCTTTCCAAAGAAAGCAAACAAGAACAACAAACTTTTCTTAAAGCGAATACAAGTTGAGAAGTAACAAATGTCACTAACAAAAAGTCAACAGAATTTATAGCGTCAACAAACAACAAATAAGTAGCAACATCGTCGCTACAAAACAACAAAACAGCAAAAAGCTAATCTTAGCGAAAACAAAAAGCCCTAGCGTAGCAAACAAAGCTCATACATATACATATATTGTATCGCAATAACCTCTATTCTTGGCTCAAACAATGACGTCACTGTTCACAGTTTTCCTTCTCATTTTGAGATGGATGTAGCTATGAGGCTCAAACCAACGCAAGATTGACATACAAATCATACTCGATCTACCTTCGAATGTGCAGATTGTAAAAATCTGTATTTAAAAAGATATAATCTTTTTTGTTTATATTTTCTAGTAGTTGGAAGTGGCATTTGTGCACATCTGAAATGTTAATCTCTCTCAAAAGTTCTTTGACTTAGGTTGGATCCCATATTTTTAGGGTCTACCTTCTGCCAATGAGGATTTTAGTGATCAAACCCCGGCACCCTCTAGGTGTTTTTGTGCGCGCGTCATGTTCGTCTGCTACCACAATTATTGGATTCAAATACTTCAAAATCTGCAAGATCGTCACAAGTGGTGAAAGACCGTAACAGATCCGTGATTATAGGTATGTTGTGGAGTGTACAATTGTATTTTTTAATTTTTTGTATATAATATATATTTTTATTTTGTTTTTTTCTTTCTGCCAATTTTCTGGATTGGATGACGAGCGCACAAATCGTAGGCGTAGAAGCCTTACACCCAGGCATTGGCCTCCCTACCTTCAGCTTTCCATCAGTTTAACAATGTAAGTAAAATTGAGAGTAAAGAATTTTAAATTAATGGTTTTCTGATCAGACTAAACTCATTTTAGGTTGATATAATAACTTACCTTTAGGCTAAATGTTGTCTTAAATTGTCGAACTTTGATTACTAACGAACACGTGTATGTGGGTATGATTGTGTGTGATTTTGATTAAGCATAACACATTCAAAGCGCATTGTTGAATGTGAGTATAGACTAGAGGATTGTACATGCACTTTGCATGCTACCCAAAATCACTCATCTACTCTGATGAGTTATGTAAATTAATCAGTAATGCTAATGATAAATGTATAATATTGCTAGGCGTTGAGACATAAACATACAAATGTATTCTCTTTAATTTGCAGATTGGAACAGTAAAGGGATGTAACTGTAACAAGGGTGCTTTATACAGGCGTTTCTAAGCGCACGGGTGGTACTGTCTAATTCAGTATAATTATTCATCATGTTCAATAGCTTAAAAGTAACAAAATAAAATAAAATATTACTAATACAATACAATTCAGTTGAATGGAATTAACTACTAGTGTGCACCTCCAGTAAACTATAACTGTTTAAAAAGGTGGGTTTCGAGAAGGGTTTTGAATGATTCAATGGATGGGGCATTTTGAATATGGGGTGGGAAAAGGCACGGTCACCACAACAGGTTTTTGTTCGTGGGCCGTGAATTAATTGCATGGAGATGAACAAAGGGATCTGGCAGAAGAGGAGGATCGAAGGGAGACTAGGTCAAGAAGAATATTTAGGGTCAAGTTTATGTGTTATTTTGTAGGAAAGAAGTAGGATTTTGAAAGTAATGTGAGAATGGACTGGTAGCCATTGAAGTGAGCAAAGAACAGGTGATATATGGTCATATTTCCTACTTAATGTGATCAATCTAGCTGCTGAATTTTGGATGCGCTGGAGAGAAGATGTAATAGTAATTGGGAGGCCGGCAAGAAGGGAGTTGCAATGGTCCAGATGGGAGGAGACGAAGGTGTGGTCAAGCTAGTCTTTCAGTGGAGGCTTTGTTAAGCATTCGCCTGATCTTTTGATGTGCTTTTGAAGAGCAAGGTGTTTGTCCAATGTAACGTTGAGGTCTCCAATGTATTCAGAGGTCTTTAGTAAACCCTCATCGGTTGTCAGAACTGGTAGAGGCACCATGCTCCTGAAGTGTGAAGAAAAATGGATCAGTTCTGACTTGTTTTCGTTTAGACAGAGTCTGCAGTTATTGGCTGACCAGACCTTGATGTCTATAAGACAATCTTTTAGTAAATTGACAGCATTGGCTTTACCACAAGGTGACATCGTTACATAAATTTGAATGCCATGCCCATACATAGCGTAGTGCACACCCTGATGATGAGTGATGGTTCTTGCGAGGGGACCAGTGTAAAGAAGAAACAGCAGAGAGCCAACGACGGAGCTTTGGGGACCTCCACAGCTGAAAGCGAGTGGAGCCGAGTAGGTCCCGTTGATTGTTACCCTCTGTGTACGGTCTTGTAGGTATGACTCGATCCATTGGAGGGCAGTCCCTGAGATGGAGTAGTCATTTGCAAGACGATGTAGCAGCACGGTGTGGTCGAGCGTGTCAAACACCGCGGTATAGTCCAAAAGAAGTAGAACGGCCTCATCAGTGTTGATTGTCTACGTGATACATGAGTTAGTTAGCCATGATCCTTTCCAAGAGCTTGCTCACTAATGGCAAATTGGCAATTGGGCAGTAATTGCCAAGGACATTTGGGTCTAAATTAGGCTTCTTCAACAGAGGGACAACTAGTAAAGTTTATCCCATTATGGTTCATATTTTGGGCTGTGTTAGATTAACCCTAATGATGTAAACCACAAACTTGTTATTCTTAAATGTATAATTAGCATTCTGGTGAAGTCACTTAGTAACAATATTATTTGTACACAATGTGCATGAAGGTTATTCCCAAGAAACAATTAATACTTCAGGTACAGATACATAAATGGAAGTTTAGACATTGTTCACTTCAAATGACAATTTATTATACATGTATTTCGTACATCAAGAAGTTAATTGAATGATCATTGAACGTAACCATTGAACACCGAAGCGTGTTATTTTTAGAAGAAATAATGCCGTTATACGTATTGTTAAAATGTTTTGACTTAGTCGTTTTCAGTTCTTACGGCTTTTGGCAAGAATAAACGTCTACAAGAAGCATAGACTATACAAGCCAGTACAAGAGAACGTGTGCGTCGTTTTTCGTTCTTCATCTAAGTATATACATTGAGGCAGGCACAAGCTGGTATTTATATTATGCGTGAACTTTAGAGCGTGAACTTTGGCTGAGGTGTGTGCAACGATAAGATAAGGATGCTGTAAAATTTTGAAGGCAAAACAGACTTGGGATGAGAAAGTTGCAATTTACCGTGTTTAGGGGGTCAAATTTTGACTGAAAATTGACTGAAAGAAGTGAAAATTTTGAAGAATTTAATAGATTTTTGACGAAGTTGATTTTCAGATTTGAAGTTTGAAAATAAAGACAGTATTTTGAAGGGCAGGTTATGCAACCCAGATGAAAGAACATCTCTTGGACTATCTATAGGAATTTGTCAGAAGGCTGTAGTATCTGGGATAGCGGAGAAACAAAAGGAAGAGGCCATAAATCGGAAAAGAAACTGACAAATTGGCGCCTGAACGGTCAGACATGAGTGATTTTTGGAGAAAGAAGAGTAAGTAGCCCTCAATTGGATGCCAGAGATTATGCCTACAAAGTTTGAAAGAAATCAGGATCAAGGAAGGGGCCTATAGATAGGGCTTGCAAGCACTGCCTGCAGAACGAATGGGATTTGGGTGAATGAAGAAAACTTCATGATGCAAGCTATCGCCCAAATGGCCTTCCACACCAACAAAATCATCAAGGGTATTGAATGGCATATAAAAAAGGCCCCATTGACATATTTTCAAAATCAGGCTTCAAAATGTCCTGCGTTTGGCCACCCGGAATATGATTGCAAAATTTCAATGAAAAAAAAAGATTGGAAAAGGGGGGAAATTCATTCTGGAAAATGACGTCATAGCCGATATTTGTTATAATTGGGCAGAAACCCAGCAGAATCCGTATTGACACCATTGTTAAAATGCTATTTACTCAAAATTTTCTAGGTAAACATATACCGTATTTGTTATCATTCAACAAGAGCATTTCATTGAGGTGTGTCTGACACCTTTTCCATTTACTCTCATGTATATATATATATATATATATATCATTGGATCAATGCAGTCTTCAATGGAGAAGCATTATTCGCATCTCATGAATGACCAAATAGGTCTTCAGCAAGAAGAATTTGACAAACTTTCTCTTGCACATCGTTCAAGGCTTCAAACTTTGTGGCCCCTTTTTTAAAACTCTTTTCTCAGTCTCGGAGCGTTAATAGTGTACCTCAGTACGATACTGCATTCTTCATGTTTGTGTCGATCTAACATTGGATATATTCTTGTTTAAAGCAGAGAGCCGTCTCGAGATTATCTATATCTTCAGGCTGGAGCAACAACTTTCAGTTTTTCGTTAAAGCCTTCCTGTCTACCTGAAATTTTATTTAAATAAATCATTTAAAAAAGAATGTTACAATGTTTCTAATTACATTTACTGAAAAAAGTTAGGGGGGTTGCGCCAAAATAGCCTAGTCAATGGCTATGCATGTACTTAAGCAAAAAGTCTTCCCAGACCTTTAGTTGCCTTGGACAGGTATAGCGCGACAAGTATTTTCTTTTCTCATCTCCTCTTCATTTGAAAAGTTATGATTTAGATTTTGGTTTCATGTCACATGCATCATGAGTAACAGTATGTGATATTAAATCATCATTTATTTGCTAGCGAGCCTCAGACTGGTTTTAATCTATAGCGTACTGACAGCATTCAATTATCTCTCTTGGGCTTTAATTATAAGATATGTAAGCCCAGTTTCCCTTTCTCTTCATTTATTAAAGTTTTGTATTTCATTGCAAACTTACATTTCAACCGAGAATCAAAATATTTAAGGAAATAATGACGACACTCTAATCATGCAGCTTCTTCTCCAATTTGATTATCATTTACCAAGCAATAATATCTTTAATAGAGTTTTTTGTGGGTGGAAAACTTGGTGGAGGGGCAAACTGCCCCCTCACCCCTCCCTCCTCCAAAGACATTAGTGATTCCCATTTATATCTCCATATGCCCTGGTCTCAGTCTGAATCTACTAACCATGCTGGCATATTTAAAGGTGATCAGAAAGATCATAACTTACTCCACAGTTTCACCGGTACTTGGATCTGATGTTCGCCGTTTGTGTGAGCAGGATGCACCTTGCGGTTGTTCTGTAATTTCAAGAACCAGGAAAGAGTAACGTTGAACTACATGGATTACTCATTATCCTATAATTCTAAGTGCTGAATAAAGTAAACTTAATAATCGACTACACTTTTATAAAAGGTAGAACAAAAACTTCACAAGCATGTATCACCAATATAAATCTAATACTTGGTATCGGACTAATCATTTTATTCAAAACTTCTCCCAGGTAAAATTATTTCACATTTCACAATTCATGGCATAGAGGGTTTATTGGTGCTGACATTACCTTCTCTAAAATCTCAAAATACAGAATAATTTGCAATTATATCACCAGAGACTAATGATCTTCAGGGAATATAAGTCTTGTATGACCGGAAGGATATATTTAAAGGACATCTGAAATAACTTTCCTTTCATGTAATATCCGTATCTAGGATGTAACAATCAGCTTAGTTAAAATGATATATTAGGTGAAAATTAATAAGATGTTTTAGATGCATTTATACTGTCAAAGCCGAATCATTCCCAATAAGCAGTGACTTTTTTTACAGAGATTTACAAATGATTGAAATAAAATAAAATTAACATTTGAATTCCAAACTTTGTAAAGTATTTCATTTATGCGTAACTCGTACCAGGACATATCATATTGTATCTATGAACAATATAGGCAAACATGTGCCTGATTTGTGATGGTCACAGCAACAAATTTGCCATATTAATTCATTTATGATAAAGCTATGTTCATGTTACGCAATAAAATTAAGAAAGAATCTATCTGGAAGGAAAGGTTGATTGCGTAGTACATAGGAATTAGTGGACACTGTAAAGGTTTGAATCATCAGTTTGATATTTTACTGGATCCAACTTGATGAAAAGCACATGCGCTGCATGCACACAGAAATGAGTGAATGGGACTGCATAAACACACATAATTACTGTCTGGTCCAAATAAACCAGCTTTTTCCTGTAATCTTTTGAAAATGAGGGCATTTGAAGAGCAATCTTTTTCAGGGATATTTCTGTCATGACTTTCTTCCAACTTATAAAGAAGAAGAAACCTCACAAATTGATTTGTCCCATTTACCAGAACTCAACCTTCTCTTTAAACCAAAATACCTTGATCTTTTGGAGAAACTCCCTTTGCTGTGTGAGGAGTTGAGAAATCCAACTCAAATAAGAATTTGACCTGATGGTCCTCAATTTGTCCTACTTTCAGTAACACTGCAACAATGTCTGGCTGGTTGGTGAAGTCCAACTGAAAGGGCTGACAGATACCGGTTCCACTCCTTAGTATATCAAAGGGGACATCCTTTAAACAATTGAGTAAACAGAGGCCATCATAAGAGTACGTAAACAAAAATTCCCTTTTATTTTCCCTATATCAATCATCTGGGGCCTGTCTCACTAAACAGTACTTAGTGTAACGGGACTTAGTGTCGCTGCGATGCGTCATGCACTAAGACGGGTCTTACTGACGTCCTGTTGGTGTTTCAGGTTCACTAAACCGTTCTTTACTAAGTCCTGTGTGCGGCGCATCTTCAACAATGAAACGTCTGGATTTTGATTCTACAAAACCAAATTTCGTGACCTTTGAACTTGTGTGGAGATAAAAGCAATTTTTTCCTGTAAGTTTTCGTCTGCATCGCGTCGTTTGGGGCGAAAAAGTGAAAGGAGGCTGAATTTTGTCACTTTAAGTGATTGTTTACCATTATTTCGACTACTGTTGGATACAAATGGGGAAGGTATGTTATTAAACTTTTTCTTAAGACAACATAAAAGTAAAATATTGAAAGCGAAATATTGTCGGTAAAATTGCGCTACTGTCAAGAAAATGAGAAAGGGGGATGGAAAATGAGAGGGAAAGGTAAAGAAAAGAAAGGCAAGAAAGTAAGAGAAGAGAAGAAAGAAAGAGAAAAAAGAAAAAGAGGAAGAAAGGAAAAGAAAGAAAAGAAAATAAGGAGAAAAGGAAGGAAAAAAAGAAGAGAAAAATGAAAAAAAGAAGAAAAGAAACGGGTGGGGGGGGGGGGGGTGTGTGAAAGAGAGGAGAGAGAGGGAACTATTGGGTGAAGTCATGCTCGATCCTCGTGTGCTATATCAATGCAGAAGTTTGAAGCTGGAGATGTATTATGTCGGTCGGCCAGCCAAAAAAATTCCCCTATGAACTGTGACTTTTTATCGGACAAAGAAACATTTTTGAAAATTCAGACAATGAGTCTGACGAATCGTCTTCTTTCTCAAATACTTTAATGAAACGTCAAAGCCATCAATATTTAAAGATGGACCATCATCGAGATCGAATTAGAACAACTTACAAATTTGTGCGAAATTTATCACATGACATTACACTAAGAATTGTTCCTACGTCTCGTCGAGACGAGACGTGACGTAGGCTACGACCTGTATGCAACTTAGTTAAATGGGTACTAAGTACGGTACGCGTCTTAGTGGGCTTTGTGAAACTCCCGCTAAGATGCATCTTACACTAAGTCCTATAACGGGACTTAAGGCCGCTTAAGACGCATCTTAGCGCTTAGTGAGACAGGCCCCTGATCTAGAAGTGTACATTAGACATTATTGTTCTGAATTGAGCTCCAGCAACCATTATGATCAACTCGAGCATTTGAAAGAGCAGTTCCTACCATTTCAAACTCAGAGTCAGATTATGATTATTTTACAGTTCCATAAATTTCAACTCTGTGGCATTATAAAGATTATCAGGATTAAATGTGGTTAATAAGAAAATAATACTCTCACATAAACTCTTAAGGCAGTTACATGGCTCCTGTATCAATCAAGCATATTTTTCAAAATACTGTTAATGACCTATCAGTGTCTTAGTCATTTGTAGAGAGAGAGAAGCTTTGGTTTAGACAGACTTCAACAATAATCTCAAGTTAGCCATCCTTTCAGATGTTTCAGTTTGTAACAAAACATAGGCATGTGCACCGGTATGTTTTGATACAAGTATTTTTTCTTCTTCTTTTTAACCATTTCAGGGAACTTTATTTCACAATAACATGAATACAAATAAATTAAAACATTGATACAAGTATAAGAGAACACAAGATCATCCAATGATGTATGGATTCAACTTTTCTATTTTGTTAACCAGAATCTTTAAACACATTACTGAACTTACAGCAGGTCCTCCAATTACTGTATCGTTTACGGAACAGGTCATTTTGAGATCAACGTCTGCTGTCTGAATAAGGACCTTTAGTTCCATATGAGCAGGTACGAATTCGTGATCCGCTTCTTGGCTCTTTACCAGCTGTTACCAACACAAATCAAAATAGAATTAGAAATAGAATTATACAGGACTGCATAAATATACCAGGCAAAAAAAATAAAAAATGTCATGGAGCGCTAACAAACCTTATCACATTAATTTTATCATGAAACATACATGTAAATGAAATCTTTTTTCAATGCTGAAGAACATGCTTTCATATCTGCTTTCAATGTCCAGTGGCATATCCACAAATTCAGGCAAAATTATACACTTTTGTCTTAAAGTACCAAACTTACTACAGTTGTTAAATGATAAATATCGAAAATACTAGATATGGTAAGCACAATTTAAAAGTACTTTATTTTGTTATTTTTAAAGCAGTTAATTTGCAGTTATAAAACTTAGTCGCCCAATATTCTCATAAACAGGCAGAAAGGTGCCTAAATATGTTATATCAAGTGTGATTTCTACAAAATAAAAATGAAATTTGATTTCAGTAAAGAAACTTAAAATTCTACTTTTGTTTTCATAATACATTTCTTAACAACAAGAAACAAAACATATATGGGCTTCTGACCTCAGAATTGTCCGTGTTATTCCTTTCGTTCTTTTGTAAGCTAATTAGTCTCAAGTATGGGAGACTTTTTTTTAACAGTGAGATCGAGATTCTCCAAAAATGTTACACTGTGCCTCGATCTACTGTACACCAACTGTAATGTCTTGTGAAAATGTTGGTAACATGGTATTTTTTGCTGTTGATTATTAATGCTCATTCAAATGCATATGGTATTTTCTGCAGATTATGTACAAACAAATGCTGATCTTTGTCCCGACTGTAGACAGTTCAGTACATTGTGTCAGATTCTTTGACTTCCAAATCAACTGCTGCAATAATAATTTACCTCGCTATTCCCTTTGATGTCGTCATAGAGGTGTGCATGTAAGATGACAGGTGTCTTTTGTAGGGCTAAGTTCTTTTTTTTAAACGGCCAGCAGCACATCCTCTTTTCTAGGAAGAAGGCATTCTTGATCCTCAACATTATTTTCTCCCATGAAAAGTGATTCATCTTCAGTTTGAGTACATCTTTCGTGATGGTGCAGCTAGGTATTCCAGACGTCGACAAAATACTTGGTTCTTTAACAACTGCATCTATAATAAACAATTTTTGGGGAAAATCAGGAAAATTATGGACTCATTGAAGCGAGACAAAAGGTCAAGTGACTTTGTAACTGTACGTCCGATTTTCAACAAAATTGTTTGAAAGATGCGCAAGACTTGAAAGAAAAAAGTCAGCGAGCGGTGGGGCGCCATACGTTCCCGAAGGGTTAACATACCTCTAAATCGGTATTCTGAAAGCTATGTTAAGGGTATACAATCTCATTTTAGGTAACGCCCTTACATGTCCATTTTATTTAATTCTCTAAAGATAATCACTCTTAAACAGTACTCTCAGCCAATCATGTTTTGTTTATATTGGACGTACATCTATGAACTAAAGTGCATATTTATTGAGCTTCATCAATTTATAAGCACTAACTTTGTCCGGGCCTATGTCACGAAGGTGCTCATGAAACGCTTCTTTATTCCTTTTTTTTCCTATGTTTCCTATGTTTCTTTATGGTCAAAAGTTTTAAATTCTCAGAGTTATATTGCAGTTTTTACAGAAACCATAAAAGAAAATTGCAGGAAAGAAAACCCCAACTGCATTTCACTCATTATTAAAAAAATGTTCAGTACTTAAACGACTCCTAGACCAATGTTGTTTTCTACATTACCTTTTTGTTTGTTTTTCAGAATACCAAAACTATGTTAACTATCATGTTATGTATCCCGCCACCACGAATGAAGTTTGCGTGAGGTTAGAGTATGCGTGCTGCATCTTCCTGCCACAAACTGTGTTACACAGTTTTGGACGTGACATAAATTTAAGAATATCGATTATGAACGTTAGCTGACATAGTTTTCATGCTAACATAGTTTTAAGAATACCACCCCAGTTCCATGATAACTTGATTGTGTGTCACTACTCCTAATTGTCACTATATAATTATGTTACATTTATGTGGTGTACCAGTGGCATCGAGTGTAACTATACATCAACGGGCACAACAGGCATCATGGAGGGGGGGGGGGGGGCATCTGTCATAACAGTGGATGAAATACAAATAGACATGTCCATTGAAGGAGGGGGGGGGGTATGTGGGGCAGGAAAAGCGGCTGAGGAGATTAAAGCATTTTCTTGTGAAGCTCCATTTCCCTTTTATTTTATATATTTTTATTTTTTCTTCTCCTTTTAAAAATATACCTTTAGGCATTTTTCCTCATACCTCATTTAGCTATGCTATTTGTCGAGAGTGTACTTGAAAAAAATGTATTCTTAAGCTGTTCATATCAAGTTTAAATATGATATCCTTCAAATTTAAAATGAGAAAACCGAAGAACTTTTTGAGCTACTCACAGTCTTAAGTGTCAAACATTTTTATAATACACCTAGTACTTTTAACGGAAATGGAGTAAATTTTTTTTAAAATACTTATTTCTAAGTGTTTCATTTATTTACCAAAAAAAGTGGGGGTTTTGACATTAATGGCATTCATCAAATACAATTGCTCCATAATGTGCATACATGTAAAGATGTACTTACCGGGTGAGTATTCTCCCACTCCCGTGTACAAGACTGCCTCCACACTGGAGTATCGTGTACCGGTAATCACAGCACAGTGAGGTATTGTGTAAGTCACCGGTAACTTAAGCACTAAGTCATCAGGGGCTAAACACTGTACACCAAAGCAGACTGACATCTCTTCGGTGCTGTTGCCAAGATTAGGAGTATCTGTCAGGACACGAAGAGAAATGTCCTGCGGCACTTCGCTGTCAATTGCACCGAAAGGGATCTCGAGTTCAATTCCAAAGGAATCTAGCTGAAGCTTGCCACCTTCAACTCCAACTCTCTTACAACATTCCATTTGGATTGGTTTGACATTTACTGTATCTAGTATGAAAATCATAAAAGATATTTTTCCATTAAATCCTTTCTGCAAACTTTCTGCAAACATTCTGCAAACTCTCTGCAAAACAATACAGTACGTACTTCAACATTATAGCAAAATATTGACCCTACAAAGACTTGTTATTTTAACCTTTAAACAAGGGAAACGCTCTCGGCGGTCTCGCCTGCATAACGCAATTCAATATGATAAACCAGAACGTCAATGACGTAGCGCTCATCAAGTTTGTTGACCTTAAATGACCTTTGATCTTAACTTAGTGACCTGAAATTCTACTCACATGATTGGGGAGACTTGATAACCCTATAGTCCAATTTTCATTGACTAAGAACTTATACTTTCAAAATTATATCAAAAATTCAAAAACTTAACCTTAGGTTAAGTTTTCGATGATGATGCTACAACATAGTCCAAGTCTGTTGACCTGAAATGACCTTTGACCTTAACTTTGTGATCTGAAATTCTACTCACATGATTGGGGATACTTGATTACCCTATAGTCAAAGTTTCATTGACTAAGAACTTATACTTTAAAAATTATATCAAAAATGTTGACGCCGCCGTCGCCGCCGCTGCCGTCGCCGTCACCGGAAAAGCGGCGCCTATGTCTCGCTTTTTGCTACGCAGGCGAGACAAAAACTGGGGGGGGGGGGGGGGGGGGATAAAAGGGCCCCCCTAAGATCTTGGCAACCAAAACTCTGATCGACTCCAAATTTGGCATGGTGATAGATGTCTATGAGATCTACAATATTGCATAGTTAAAATGTTTCTTTTAATTAGAATATGCTAAAAAGAGCATTAAAGGGATCCGGTAACTTTGTCTCAGATTCTGAAACAAAATTCTGGATTTAGCTCATGATGCAATGATAATTATAAACCTTTAGGTCAGTCAGGAGCCCCATGACTTTTACAAGCTGATCGCCTGTCTGATTATCAAGATATTTATGATTGGAATTACAAATTTTGAAAACCGTTCGCCTGACGGTTTTCATAACACTACAGTCTATTGGGGAAAACGAGTATGGTAAAACCGGTCACTCAAAGATTTTTACTTTTTTGAGGCACTTCTTGATCATTTTGAAGCGCAATTTTTTTAGGGCTTCAATATTACACCATATCACAGACACTGATAACACTTAGGGCCGTGTATCTCAGATTTAACATTGTTAAACGATCCCTTTAAATGGATACCTGGCAGGAATTAATTCCTTGAAATGCTGGAGCTCTGTAATGGCAGCTAGGATAAAGCCGGGGTAATAATAACAATTCGCCTCGAAATAGAATTTCTAGACAGAAGGCGCTATAGAAATGCCTATTATTATCATTATTAGATCTAATTAACTAGGCAAACATTGTATTTTTGGGGGGTATTTTTTTGTATTTTTCTTTATGTATGGTGATTATTATGAAAAAAAACAAAACTGTGTTCATGGTACAATATGCATGCTAAGATATTATTTACACAATAAAAAAGAAGGTAATTGATATGATAATTATCCAACTTATGTAATTACAACATCATATTAAATCATAAACACATGTTTTGGTGATGATTTCATGTGAAGTCATGAAAGACATTTTTACTTCCTTTTGTTGAAGTGCTAGTTTATTTGTCTTTTGTATAACTTTTCATTTGATCTAAATGATGCATACATTGTTTTAATTACATATTCTAATTAGTACTAATAAAAGTTTGACAATTTTTTCACTTTTCTAACTTTTATATTTTTCAATTGACATAATCATGTACACATGAAATATGTAAGATAACAACAGGATCATCATCAAAATTTATTTAGTTTTACTATTTCCTACATTTTTTTCTTTGTTATTCAGTTTTTTTCTTTGTATTATTCTTTATATCATTTTGTAATGCTTTATGCAGATGAAAATGCAATAGGTTTTATTCACCATGCCAAATGGGAATATATACAGTACATGTCAAAAGATGGGTATAAAACTGCAACATAAAAGGTGCATCTAAAAACTCTGTATATTATATATGAAAGAATATAAACATCAAATTTAATGACACACGATCACAAAATGTTAAATAACACCCGGAGAAGACTCTAAGAAAAAAAGTCATGAACTGGCATCATATAATATTTAAGCATTACAAAGTAGAGGAGGGGGTAGCTAAATCAGCTCCCCCACACACACATTCTTTTTCGGGGTAAATGTAGGTTATAGAGCTCTATAAAGAGCAATGTCACTCTGAAGTATCCTTTCATGTCAGGAATAAGTGTAAAAGAAATATATTCTTACACATTTTAAAGTTTTTTATCCTTTAAAAGGTGTTTTTTATTCTTTTAAAGGTGTTTTTTCTCAATTTCGTCCTTATAACTGTTGCTTAGTTTAGATTCTACGTTGTGGAAAGATATATGAACTTAGATATACCATCTTTAAGATTTAGCAATTTACATGAAGGATGTTATTTTTCAACTTAGGATTTAGAACAATTACCTTTTATCGATCTGTCATGAATATTGTATTACAATAAAATATTAAGATAAAAGAAAAATATTGTAATCTATCCTGTTTTTCTCCCTTTTGCCGAACAATACAAAACTTGCTACTTGCTAGAACCACGCATGGTAGGCCTATTTCCACTAAGACACATCTCTGTACGATAGTGTTGTATATTTGTGTACTTAAAAAGTACACACAATGGATTTGTATGTAATAATGTAATTTATATACGGATGTGAGATCTGTATTTCAAATTTTGATTTGTGACAACCATCTTCAAATTTTATGAATGAATCATGGTATGTACTACAAATATGTGAAAATTCATTTGTACAAATTTTGTCTGCCTGTATATCCCAGCTAAAGGCTCAATTACATATGCCAAGGTCTAGTATTGCAGTGACTTTTTGTACTGTGTACCCACCTGCTGGGTGTCCAGACAGGTTGGTTATCTGGACAGATAATGTTCAGACAGAAAATAAAACACTTTTCTTTCAATACTTCATTATTCATTTAAAACGTACGTTGACAATATTCTAATTGGCAAATATTCCCAGAACTATATGTTACTTGACGATTGCTTTTTGTGAATTCAATCCAAATGCAACAGCTTCATCTTTGTTCAAGGGAAATCCAACCTTAAAAGCAAACATCTCTATTTAAAATGAAAGCAGACAAATCAGAGAAGCAAACTGGTGAAAGTTTGAAAGAAATCAGACAACAAAATAAGAAATTTATAATTTGTTTAAAGTTGTAATCATAGGCTCTTCAAGTTTATAGCTGAATCAGTAAAGTCTCTGTGATGTAGTGGCGGACAACTACCCATAAAGTGTTATCCGCGACTACCGGGTACATCACTGTTTATCGATGTTTGGTCTACACCCAGTTCGTCTACCAATAAGCCTATTCCTATATGGTCTAAACCTAGCCCGTCTACCATCCACATGGTCTAATAATCATTTCGTCTACTCATCATTCGACCATTTAGGCTAATAGCCAATTGGTCTAATTAGGTGATACGTAACGAAGTCAACGTATCACCTTTTGATTTCGTCAAGATTGTTATTTATTATTTATTATTATTATTCTTCCTCTTCCTATACGTCCGCGCGTCAGCTCGCGCGCAAAATTTCAAAATGCTCAAAATCATATCAAATTAATTTTGCATACGTTTCAGGCCATTTTAAGCATTTTGCAAAAAGACGCGCACACGCGCATGCGCGCGCGTTTTCGCGCGTACTGGTATTTTCCAACATAGAATCGCCAATTTTTCTCTGTCATCATATTTGGCACATTTTTTCAAGCATTTTGATACCTTGTTCACCTTTTTCTGACCATTAATAACGGAATGAGCGTCCGTTTAAGATAATATCTGTGCGTGCGAGCTCTTGTAATACATAGCATACATGGGCAAAAACATGCCTATACAAAATTCAATGTAGCGCTTTAGGATGCAAGGTGAACCCAATTTTTTTCTCCATATTTTGATAAAGTATGAATTGGAGATATGATTTCATGTCTCATTTGACCCTCAATTAACTCATGACGTCATCATAATGGCCTCCCAACTCAAAATTTCAATTTGCATATTATGACGTCAGCAGATTTCTGGAAAATTGACTGTATCTCCGTAAATATTGATCGAATTTCTTCCAAATTTTGATATGATCTAGCTGAGACAATTCTCTACAAATGCAGTCATCACAATATTTCATTTTGACAATGGCATCATGGCGTATTTTTGCAATTAAAGGAGGCATGTCAATTTTGGACATTTTGCGCGTATTCTCTATGGGACATGACTTTTTCTCAAAACTGGATTCTACATTCTCGTCTTTCGCGAGCAATATCTCCGTAGTTATATCTTTGTTTACGCTGAGCTTTGAGTATGTTGTAGCTGAGACAATAAGCTATCACAAGTGTGTTCTTTATTTTTCGATCAGATGCCGGGATCATGCTTATATTTCACTTGCAAAGTGGGATTTGAAAATTCAATTTTCCGTTTACGTGTAATCTCAATGGGAAATGTTTTGGTATATCGGTAACGCACTTGACATCCGACCTCGAGGTCCCTGGTTCGAGTCCGGGCGTCTCCAACACTATTTTTTCTTCACTTTTTTTTTCTTTTTGACCTTTCACTGTACCATCTCCTTTAAATATTAAAACACGTACAATCGCAAATAATGTAATAAACAACCATATTTACTTTATTATTACCTTATTATCACTAGATCCATTACTTTTGGCGTGTAATCCTTATGGGAGATGACTTTTTCTCAAATCTGGATTCTACATTCTTGTTTTTGCGAGCAATATCGCCGTTATTTCGGCTTGGTTTTTGTTTGCTAACTAAATGTTCTCTAATTTTGTTCAGTCTGATGTCATCGTGGTCTGTTGATGATAATCATCAACATCATCATGATCCTGATCATCATGATCATCATCATCGTCATCACCATTACTATCAAGATCATCATCATCATGATCATCA